GAATTTATTGGAGAAGTAGCTGATTCCAGAGTTGGTACCAGAAAAGTATAAAATGAACTTGGGTCATTTTGTGGTGCCACAAAGTTAAAAAAAGAAAAAAGTGCTCAAATAATGATACGATATATTGAAAGGACAGAGGCGTCAACTTGAAGAGGTTCCTATTGTCCAAGTTTTGGAAAATTTAAGCAAAAAAAAAACAACAACATTAGTAACAGTAGTATAATTCATTATAACCCATAGAATGAAATAAATATTTATCAGTCCATACTGATAGGAACACCTGAATAAATCAATAGATATGAAAGAAGAGAAAGTTCATTGTTACCGTGGAGTTCAGCTAATATTTGTACCTGGACAAAATGCTAAAATTTGAAAATTTTCATTCGGAGAGTGTCACAGTTGTAATTATTCACACAATATCATCAATGGTTGTTATGATGAAAGAATTGCCCTAAACAATTCAAAAAATCTATTCACTTTATAAGCAGGGGAAAAAATAGCGACTTTATAATGGATAAACCTGGCACACACTATCTTAACCAAGTTATCAAGGTTAATAATTCATGGTAAAGAATCTCATGTGCTGCATATAGAAAAATCAAAATCCAGTAAAGAGTTCACACTCCTGTATTCACAAAGAAAGATATATGAGTATATATAAATAAACGCACCAAACTAAAGGTATCCACATAGCTGTCAGTAGAATTGGATATAATCAGTAGGTTAATTGGCAAAAAGAACTAACTCCAAACTAAACCCTATGATTGAATATATTCAACAAAGTGTGCCACCATGCATGCATGTCCTATTTCTCCCCCCACAATAGATAAGTTCCTGAACAGGTGGTATATTTTAAATTGTTATGGAAATGAACAAATTAAAGCCAACATAAGGCAAAGAGTTCTTCAAAATAAATTTAAAAAATAAAGAAGCGACACTCATTGCCATTGCATGATTGTGACTCTTTGTGATCCTACAGGACAAGGCAGAACTGCACCCCCGGGGCTTTCCAAGACTAAATCCTTTCAGAAGTAGAAAACCTCCCCTTTTTTCTGCAAGAGGCTGTGGTTTTTGAAAGTGCTGACTTTGCTGTTCGCAGCCCAACTCATATCACTCACTACACCACCAGGGCGCCTCAGGGGTTATATACACCGAATTATGGTTATTTTATAAATCTTTCTACGGACTGTGAATCCATAAAACCATATAAATGAAAACAGTAGCATTTAGCTTGTTTTAAAATTAATTTCCTATACATGGAGATATAGAAATCAAATCCTGATCTTTTGGTTCTATGGTAAAAGCTTTTTTAATTATATCATGCTATTTCTTCTAAAATCAGCCAGAAGACATAAAATTTCCATTATTATGCCATCTCAAATTCTGTTTTAAAAAGAGAGAGTCCAACACTGAGCAGCAAATAAATCTGTATAGACCATACTCAACGGAGTCAGGAGCAATGACAGTGTCATGGGCAAAGAATCTGGAGTCAAATGACCTAGATTCCTTTTTCTCTGCCCTCCCACCCCCAACTAGTAGTTATGTCCATTGCCCTTGAACTCTTGTACTCCTCTCAGCATCTTCTCTGCCTCTATCATTTTTTTAGATTTGTTTTTTCCCCCCCAGCTCCATATCTATATTACTACCTACATGATTTGGGGTAAGTTACTTAACCTCTAAGACCTTTATATAAACTTGCCTCATCTGTAAAAATGAGGATCATAGTGATCTCTATCTAACAGGTCAGCTGTGAACACTCAATCTAATCATGCATAGTGCCATTTTAGCAGTTTCTGGCACACAGTAAACACTCAAAAGTGTTAAGCTATGATGACAATGATCACGACAATGCTGACTAGTTCTTCCAATGGACCAGTATACTTCATAGAGAAAAACTGGTTTGTGGTCACAAATTAAACACCTATCTTTGACAAGATGGATTGGTACAGTGCCTGCAACAATGGGCTTAACAATTGTGAGGAAGGCCCAGAGCAGGGCAGTGTTTTCCTTATGTCTTCCATGGAGTCAACACCTAATAACCAAAGTCCTTGGTAGGTTCTTGTTACTGGCTATGAAGGGTTAAATTAGAGAAACCTATGAGTTGGAATCCACTGGATGGCAGCTGAATTTGGTTGGCTGCTTTCATCCATGCCACACACACACCCTCATTTCACATACTATATCCATAAATCTATGGTCATATCCTATTGACAGTGATAAAATACAGGTATATAAAACTGTCTTTACATAAAAACACATGATTTCCATGACTAGAAATGACATTTTCCATTCAAAGCTGCCTTTCCCCCTCTTTCTACTAATCGTTCAAGACAAAAGTTACATTAACTTACAGGAAAAAATTAGCTTAACTTAAAATCTTGCACATATTTGTGATATCCCAATTATGTGGTATGGCCTTGGAAATAAATCATGTTTTAAGCTGTGGAAAAATTGCAGCATTTTAAGTAGCAATGCTCTTCCTGAAATAACAGCTTTACCTGAGATATTGGCATCTGGTGCTCCAGAGAAGTAAGATAGCTAACTTAAAAGAACTTGAACACAAATAAACCTAAGGGTTTTTAGTCACTCGGTATTAGATGACTCCAGTCAACAACCTGCCCCACTGCCACCCAGTATTACTTTAGAAAAGGTCACCTATATCCTGACCACCAGTCTGAAGAGCAGGTGCCATGCCTATTTTTCAGATGATTGAAACATTCATCTAACTAGGATATCGATGTATGAAGCAAGAAAAATAAAACTCTTGTTTCATTAGATTTAAGGCCTGGATGTTAAAGCACTCAGTTGCTAACCAAGAGGGCAGGGGGTTATTTGATTCCACCAGCCAGTCAGTTTCTGTTAAGGATGACAGTCCTGGAAACGCTAAGAGGCAGCTCTACTCTGTGTTAAAGAATTTCTATGAGTTGGAATAAACTCAACTGCAGTGGACTTGGTTTCTTGGTTTGCTCTATTAGAGGTATGCTATCCTTATGATAGGGAAATGGGGTGTAGAATATTCTTTTTAAATTATATAGGATGGGGGAGGGGGAAACTGTATGCTCTCTTCTGTCATTTTCTCATGAAGATTCAATCAGTGATTTACAAGTGCCAGAAAGCAAGCTCTTTCCCAAGTTTTGTCAATCGTAAATGTAAATCTCACTCTTTTCAATCAATTTCCTGGAAATTGAGGTGCAGTGTTGCTGTGCATACCAGTATCTGGTGCGTATTTATGAATAGTCATTTCCAAAAGGGGGGAAAACCCCTCAGAAATATTTATTCAACATCCACAGATTCTTTGCTCTTGAGCCAAATGCCATTAGCAGAAGGCACCGCAAAAATGACTTTAAAGTAAATAATTTTTAACAGCACAACCGGAGTTATGTCCTATGGCATGTAGCCTGATTACATGGCTAAATCTTACCCTATAAAAGCTGCGGTGTGCCCCCAAAAATGTCCATTTCAAATCATTCATCTACTTTGATGGAAGCAAATTATGGCATGTACAGTTTTCAAATTTGATAGTTTTTTGTTGTGGTTGTGGTTTTTCCCCAGCAGATTGTCATCATAATTCTGCTTGGTTTGGAGTAGCGGTTCTCAACCTGTGGCTCGTGACCCTTTGGGAGTCGAAGGCACCTTTCATAGGGATCGCCTGTTTCATAACAGTACCAAAATTACAGTTATGAAGTAGCAACAAAAATAATTTTATGGTTGGGGTGGTCACCACCACATGAGGAACTGTATGAAAGGGTCACGGCATTAGGAAGGTTGAGGACCACTAGTTTAGAGTAATGTGAAATTAGTCTTCTATACCCTTAGTACAAACTTCCTAGAGACAGAGGGACAGCAACATGGTCTTATGTTGTGCTGAGTTCTATAGGGATGCTAGCTAGGTAACATAAAAGAAAGTGCACTGAGATCAGCTGGGTCATAGCAGTTGCATGTAAAGAATTTCTAATCCGTCAACCACGCGAAGGCCTTAACTATGATCTCATAGTAAAGTGTTTGTAAAGCCACATACTCGGGCCACTAAACAACTAAATTCATGATCACAGGTTTAGTCTTTAGAGGTGAGGGGAAATTCAGAACCAAAGTCTTATTTATTCCTTTACCTTGGCCTCTCATCCCCAGAAATGGGTGGAACTACTCAGACACCTTCTAAGAGACAGATGGACATTTTAATCCTTTATTTCTCAAACTGAGTGGAACTCTGCTCTGATTTCCCATGGAAGTCTCCCTCTCCCCAAGCCCTGGCACCGCACTCCTTTCTTGTAGAACATGCTTTCTACTTTGAAAATCCGTCTTTGACTCTTCTAAATAGGTGATGGGCCAACTGCCTTGGTGAGTTTTAAAAAAGACAAAACAAAAAAGTAAGCAACCACAACAAAACCCGAGAATTTATTAAGGTGGGGAAGACCTAAAGTCTGAGGCCATCCATCCTTAGCTTACCACCTTCTTGGTGATGTTACCTTAGCATTGGGACTAAGGATGGCACAAGCTGGGCACCATCTGGACCTGAGATGGTGTTGCTTAAGAATCAAGGCAAATAACTTCGAGGCGCTGAGCACGGGTGGAAGCTGGATTTGGAAGAGCAGTAATATTAAACTACCAAGCTTAAAGAGCGCGTGGGTTGGGTACAAGTCGTGAAAAAGTTCGCTGCCAGGCAAGGAAACACCGAGGGTGGAGGGTGAGGAGGCAAGGTTGTAAATACGGGGCTTAGGGAACAATTAACTAACCAGTGGGCCCCCACCTCTGGCTCTCCTCCGGTCCTGGGACTGACTAGCAGCAGGGAAGCAAGCAGCCCTATTTTTAAACACCTAAAAGCTCCCCGTGGGTTTCCGAAGGCTTGAATTCCCAGCGTGGTAAATAATGCTTCTTTCTCAACAAATGAAGGCAAAGCTGACCGCCCTAGCCAAGACCTAGGAGAAAGGCAGGTAAAAGGACAAAACGTGGTTTCCGTGTGAGGTGATGGGGCGGGGGTGGGGATAGAAGGAAGGACTTACCGCAGCCTCTGCGGGCTGCCCCCCAAGCCTCAGGGCCAGTAAGAACAAGCCGGCAGCCAGGCTGACTCCGCGCAGCGGCATTCTTCTGCTCCCGCAGCTTCTTCAGCACCCACAGGAAATCCCCGCTGGGCTCTGACCAACTGACATAATCTTGAGGGGTTATTGGAAGAGATCGAGAGCCGGGAGGGGGACAGCGAGGGCGTCCCAATTGTGCAGATCCTTTTAGGTGAGGAGAACGAGAAGCTCTTTAAGAAGGGTTGGGAAAAGGGGTGGTGGGGGAAAAAGAAGAAGCTGTTCTTCCTCCCCCCCGCCCCTCCCCAAAGCCGGTCTCTCAGGAGCACTTTTCCCTTCTGTCCAGACTTGCAAACTTTTTCCCTCACTCAAGTTCTACAGCTCTACTTTCCTCCTTCTTGGCCTCTGCACCGCCCCCTCCCCACCAGCGCAGGGCAATTTGAGTATCCCTCCGCCAAAGCTTCAGCCTGCACGGCAACCTGTGAGGGAGTGTCGCTCAGTTATTTGAGGGAGGGAAACTTCCAGACTAGTTGACTGAACACCATGAATGCAACCAGGAAGCTTTTCTATTTGTTGCTTGACCCGACCACTGATACAACTCTTCCCTACCCAGTCCCAGCCTCTTTGGTGTGAGCACCAAAGCCAATTATAAATAGACCTGAACTGGGACTATTTTTTGTGAGCGGATGGATTTCAGAGGAGAGGATTTTATTGTTAATCATTGGACAGAAATTCTCGTCGCGGCCCCCTGGGCGGATGTTGCTGTTTGTCTTCCAACTGCTTGTTGGGCAGAGTTTTTACATCCTAGCTGAAGATGTGAAAATATTATAAAAATAGGTGTATATCTAATTAATTGTATGTTTTTAGCTAAAGAACTAAGAAATTGCACACAGGTACAGTGTATATGTGTGAATAAATTATGGGCGTTATACACCATCGTTTGGAAAATGTTAAGTAACTATCAGTGTTTATCATGCACTTGAATGTTATCCGTGATAACACGGTCATATATTTTTATGAAGCTGCACTGAGTGTCATAAATAATATTTACCTTCAGTATTGAGTGTAAAAGGTATTGACTCTCTTTGTAGTTGTGTTCCAGAGAGATTTAAGGCCGGGGACTAAATAACTTCAATGCGCTTTTCCTTTAATTATCACAAACATTAAGGGGAAATATTTACATGGCATTAGTGACTTGAAGTGATATCTCTAAAATAAGTAGATAGAACACTAATTTGATAATTCTTGATGTGTGATTTTGTCAAAGGACCAGCAGGGCCAGAAAACGTGATCTATTTGCAGAACCTTTCAGGAATTTTCTGAAAAAAATCTTCATAATTTCCCCCCTTTAGAGCTTTAAAGATTGGAGCATTTCTCTATGTCAGAGCTAGAATGGATTCCTTCGGATAAATCTTTCCCAGCATAGTGACCCTCTGGTATATCGTAGAAGTGTCCCATAAGTGTTCGTGGAAAATCAATCCACTTGATGGCCCTAACAACAGAATTTCTCATCTGCAAAATGGTAGTTCCCTTCTCAGAAGAAAGGTCAGTGGATCTAATTGTGGAAAACTCGGCCCCTGAAACCTCTACGGAGCACAGTTCTACTCCGATACACAAGAGGTCGCCATAAGTCAGAATACTCTGCAAAGTAGCTAGTTCGGTAGACTCTTGCAAGGCTCTGGATCTATTTTGTGGAGTCCAGCTCCTTCTTCGTTTCTACTCAGCTCGGAGATTCACAGCTCCAAAACCCCTCAGATCTCCCGCTTTCAGAGTTCAGTGTATAAACAATTCGAATGAGGGTGGGGTGAGGTGGAGCTTCAAGAAGTTCGTGGACAATGTCCTTTCTCTTTAAATTCCATTTTTTTTCTCCAAGAACGTTGCCAAGTACCTGCTGAACTATTTCAGGAGAAACACAGGGCTTTCTACTCCTGTAAAGAGTTCCAGTCTCAGAAACTCAAAAGGGGGCAATTTGACCCTGTCCTATATGGTTGCTATTGAGTCATCTATCTACTCCATGGCAGGGAGAGTTTTTTGTTTGTTTGTTTGTTTTGAGTTCTTATGTATTTGGCCATAGATGCAAGGTCAGTTGGTGCCTCAACTGTCTATGTGGGAATTGTATGGCTAAAGCCTCTCTTCACTTAACAGTTAACAGTGGCGTCTGGAATTGTATGGGGAGAAGGTCCGAAGGTTTCCTGCAAAGGTTGGTTTCTTGGAGTGTGTGAGGGCCGCTGCTGAGACCAGGGGTGGTTAAGTGCAGCCAAGGTGCCTGAAAGTGGGAAAGACAACCGGCTGCCCTAGGTAGGGGGAATGATTGGCAGCAGACCGCCCCGCCCCTTTCCCCTCCATTCCTTCCTCTCTTAGAGCATGGAACTATCTCCTGAGTGCGGCAAGTTGGAAGGGGCACTGCTGAGCGTGTTTCCCTGTGGGACACTTTATATCTAGAAGCTGCGTTTAGTTCTAGTTTCTTCTGCAGTGGGCCATTTCGCCCCCTACCCAGTCTTCCCGAGTAAGGAAAGAGCCGCCAAGCATCAGCTGAGCCCGGATGAACCGGGGCTGCTGAGCGGCTCAGCCTCTCCCGGGACCCGGCGCCAGAGCAGCCGCAAGCATGCCTGCTGGGTGAGCCTTTGCTGCCCTGAGCCTTCCTCCTCTTTCCAACTTCGGGCTACCTTACCCCGCCAGGACTATACTTGGACTTCTGCTCCTGTAGGGAAAGTGGGAGCAGTTAGCAAAACAGGGTTCAGGGGAGGGAGCTGCCGGCAGACGCAAGACCCCAGAGCCCTGGGAGCCCACGTTACTTACCCTCCCTTCCGTTTCAGGTGGTGGCTGCTTCTGGTTATGTTGTGCTGGACCGAGGAACTGGTACTAGCGGTGAGTCTCTTCTTGATCCCTTCCCACCCGCCTTTGACCTCCTCCTTCTCCCACCCCTGATGTTTGTGCTCCAGGGTTACCGCAGGTTGCACCACGATGGAGTTCACACCATGCTGGTTTCTAATTGGAGGTTAATGGAGTTCTTGGGAAGAAAATAGCACAGTGTCAGGCCAGTGTCTTTGGGATTGGGGCATCTTCCTGTCCAAAAATTCCATAACGGGCTGGGAAAACAAAAATAGAACCTACAGATGCACAACTTTCCAAGCCTCCTCCCGGACAACTACTCCGATGACTGTCTGACGCCTTTCTCTGCATTGATCACCAAGGCAAAGTTCTTCATGCTGTTTTCTCTGGTCTACAGTAACACGAATTGGCATGTACATTTCATAGTGGGAAGCCAGCACAAGGAGGGGGACCTGAAAGTGCTGTGGATGTTCTGGGAGTTAAACTTAACTGTTTGCTCAGTAGTACTCTGGCTGTACCAGATGATAACATCTGGATTCCTTAACTACCTGAACAGAACGGCTTCTACCAGATGTTCAGTTTCTTCTTGATGTCTCCTTGCATTGGTTTTCTGTGTTATTGGAAAGTTAAAAGTATAAGGGGATGGAGGGGCAGTTTCTGAAAGTTAACATTTCATAGCTTGTTTAAATATTACTCACCAAATCAGTTAGGGACTGCAGACAACGGAATTTGTGGCAAAATATGGGCAGAAAAAGATTAATACAGACCTCCCGTGGAATTACTGGGAAAATATACCAAATGTGGAGCAGCCACAATAATCAGAGATGCTGTTTTCCAGTCTCGAGAGCTACTCTTGCTGGCAAAAATAGAGTTAGACATTGGGTTCAAGCGCACAGTGGTTCAGCTGTTGAATAATGTTTCACTGCTCTCTTATAACGAACTCTGAATAGCAAAACTCATTCACTACGTAGATGACAGATGGATGGCTGTATGTTCCAAAGACTTTCCTTGTGAATTTAGAGATTTTTAACTGATTTAAAAGACACCAAATATTTTCAAACGTTTTCAATAGAGTTAACTTAGTCCTAGGTAATAACATTACCTAGTAACACTTATGAAAAAAAATCTATTACTTTCACCCACCACATGATGTCTTTAAGAAAATACTATAAGGAAGCAAAATGACTCCTCCGATGCAACGTGGAAGATGTCTGAAAACATGAATTCTATTCTCTTGCGACCCTTAACTTAGAAGGTCAGCTCTTATAGAAGTCACTTCTAGACTTTGTAAGCAGAAAATATGGATCCTGGGCCTCTACACTTTTTCCTTCTGTTCCTCCATTGTACACGTTCAGTTGTGTGTTACTTTGAGGCTAGATTACTTGCATTTATCGGAAGTGCCAGGTTTTGACTGGAGAACAATTTGTCTGGAAATCTTGCCACTTGTAAAGAGTCATGCTTGGGGCAGAGTACCCTCCAGCAAAACCCTGGTTTTCTGGCTCTGGCTGCTTTTGTTCTATGTTCTTTTGGGAGAAAAGCAGTAATGTATCACTCTAGAATAGATGAATATTTCTAAAATACTGGATCTCATGAAGCAGCTCTAGACGTAAGACCCTCCCCCCAAAAAAAAGATGATGTAAATGAGTTTGAAGCATTATTATTGCTTCAATTCTTGAAAGTGCCTATGTTTGTCTCCAAAGCAACGCTTTGGGCGAGTAGGTGTGGGGCCTTGTCTCTGTTATACAATGCCTCTGGCTATGCCACTGTGATTGCCCTTGGGAAGGCAATAATAATGCTTCAAATTCATTCACATCATCTTTTTGGGGGGGCGTCTTAAGTCTAGAGCTGCTTCATCTGTTGTTTACTTCTGGGCAGAATCTTTAATGGTGTAAGACTTTTTATTTCAAAAATGGCAAAGAGAAAAAAAGATCAGAGAAAAATCACTGGCTATAAGTTATCAGCAGATATTTTTTCTGAGGAAAAATATATATTTATATATATTTGTCTTGTGCACTCTTTTTGATTCTCTAAGTTGACTGGTTCTCATCTTCTATGCACAATTTCAGTTTATCCTCTGGGTTTGGCAAGCCTTTCACATTTCAGATGGCTTTAGACCATTTGAATTCTCTGTACTGTTTTTGCCTAATGTTAATTTAAAAAATTGCTACTCTAAGTAGATGACAAGAACTTTGTTGTACCTCATTTATAAAAGAGTCACTTCACTCTGAAAGTTCAATCGCCAATAATGGAATATTGGTGACGATTTAAAATGGGGCCATTCAGGTACTTTGTCAGGGTTTATAAAGCACTTCTATATAAAAGTAATGGCAAGCTGAATGTTAAAACCAGAATTAATACGTGATTTTTTCCCATTGAACTCCTTTAAAGGAATGATGATCTTTATTCAGGTGAATTTTTTGCAAAATCTCTCTGAATGTGATAGAGCCTAGGATTCCAGAATATCAGTAATTATCTTTGGTTGTTAGGTCCTTAACTACCTCAAGTGCAGCACACAAAGGCTTATTTAGACACAGTGCCTAGATATCCAGGAGTTTGCTTGTTTAGAAAATCATGGTCATTATATTGCTTTAAAATCAAGCTCTTTAATGATAAATAATCATCTGGATGTATTTACAACATCTTTGACAAAAGACTAAAGCGATCTAATCCTGAACTAAAGTAGTCAGAGTTCTTAGTTTTCTTCCAATTTTGCCCCACCACAGTCTGCTTAAAATAAAGGCTCTATTACAACCAAGCAAAATTAAAACTAAAAACCTGGTGGGAGCGTTACTTGGGTGAAGAGCAGTATATAAAATGTATACATAGGTCTCATCCTGCTAAAGAGATCATAGTAAAATGTCTCTCGCCATAAACATGAGGAGCCCTGGTAGCATAGTGGTTATACATTGGGCTGCTAACCTCAATGTGAGCAGTTCAAAGCCACCAATCACTTAGAGAAAGATGAGGCTTTCTACTCCCTTAAAGAGTTTCAATCTCATAAACCCACAGGGGCAATGAGTTCTACCGTGCCCTATAGGCTCATCATGAGTTGGAATCGACTTGATGGCAGTGAGTTGGAGTTAGCCATAAACATGTCTTTAAAGTTGCAACTTGTCCAGATTGGTCTTCTCCACTGTGGATTTTCACAGTTATCAAATTTTAAAGGGCATCAAAGTATGAATAGAGTATGAGAAGTTAAGAGATGGGGGAGGTGAGAAAAATCCATTCTACTCTAAAGAGCATCATATTTGCTTTGCTGGAGGCTGTGAATTCTAAAGTAGTCTTTTGCTCTGCCTGCTAGTAAATATCATCCCATTCCAGCTAGCAGTGAAAAATTATATTATATATTAAATGAGTTTTTGTGTGCATTTTGTATTTAGAAGCTATATTTTGGGATGAATGGGGATACTAAAGCAGTCCTGGTGGCGTATTGGTTTACTCCGCAGCCTGGTATGAGTCATCAACTCAATGGTGCTAAGTTTTGGTTTATTTTGCTTGAGGATACTAAGACAGATCAGTTGAATTATCCAATGGCTACATAAATGGATGAATGGTTCATGATTGGTAATATGTGTATAATATTGACCAGTCAGACAGAAGTATATTTTAAGATAAAATCAAGTCAATTCGGATGCATAGCACCATTTAGTAAAACTGCCCCAGAGAATTTTGATGGCTGTCTTCTTTAGGGAAGCAGACAGCTTCTTGTTCTCCCATGGAGTTGCTAGGTGGGTTCAAACCACTGAGTTTTCAGTTAGCAGTCAAGTGATTACCCACTGCATCACCCAAACAAAAACCCAAACTCACTGCCCTGGAGTTGATTCGGACTCATGGTGTCCCTAAATTTTATGGGAGTAGAAAGCCTCATCTTTCTCCCGTGGAGTGGCTGGTGGATTTGAACTGCTGACCTTGTGATTAGCAGCCCATCTCATAATTCACTACAGCACCAGGGCTCCTCAATGAAACACCGGGACTCCTTATTTTAAGATGAGAGATGGGGGAATTAGTTGGGGGGGTATAAATACAAAGCACACGATGGAAATTTGTAATGCAGACAATGCAAACTGAGGAGAGACAGGCTACTACACTGATTGTGTAGGAGATACCTTTAATAAATGGTTCATAACTCCCTTTTATAAGGTATTTAAAGAGTTAGAAATATAGGCTGAAGCTGAACAGACACACAGTGTAAGATTGCAAGTTAAGCACAAGTTTACGTGTACAAACTTACTAATCCATAATGAACTGGCTGCATTGTGGTTACACATTAGGCTGCCAACAGCTAAATCAGCAGTTCGAAACTACCAGTAGCTCTCAAGGAGAAAGATGGACTTTCTACTCCCTTAAAGACTTACAATCTTGGAACCTCACAGGGGCAGTTCTATCCAGTCTTCTAGGGCCGCTATGAGTCTGCATAGACTTGCTGGCTGTGAATTTGGTTTTTGGTTTTCACCAACTACTCAAGTAGAAAACATGTATAGACATATAATGTGCATAGGAAACTCATGTGTAAAAGAAAATGATGCATGAGAGGGTTGCAAAATTTGCAAAAATCCTATAATGCACTTGTAAATTAGTCATTCAAAATTATAGTGGTCACTTGACCCACTACTAGTTATTATTATTGTAATGTGCTACTTACAGAACAACCATATCACCCATTTGTTTTATATATATTATGATTATGGTATACAAGCAGTCGCAGGTTTTGAACATGCAAACAATTCATATTTGTTCCTTAATGCTATCTAGATTTGCCCTCACTTTGAAATGATTGAACCAATTCCTACGCGAAGTAAGTGTTCATCAAATCACCTTCACTTGTTACACACATCATAAAAGCAAAATCATACTCAGTGCCATCGAGTCAATGCTGACTCATAGAAATGATATAGGACAGTAGAACTGCCCCAGACAATTTCTGTGACTCTTTAACTGTTTACAGGAATAGAAAATCCTGTCTTTCTCCCTTGGAACGGCTGGTCATTTCGAACTCCTGACCTTATAGTTAGCAGCTTTGAAATTATTGAAAAGGT